GTGCTGGCCCCGTGGCAGTGACAGCAGCACCAGAGCTGAGGTCATTCACACAAGCCCCAGCCCTGCCACTTCACAGTGCGTCTCGCTCGTGCACCTTCTTAACTGGGCCAAAATACACAGAGCATCGCTTTCTCCGATTTGGCCACTTCTGGGCACACAGCTCAGGAGCATGAAGCACCTTCCCATCTCCCCAGACTGAGCCTCTGTCTCCAGGAAATGCTGGCTCCTGTCCCCGCCCAGTCCTCGGCACCCCTGAGTCCACTTTCTGTCTGGAGTTGGCATGTGAGGACTGTGGGGGATGGTTTTCCAGCAAGTGCAAAGGTCCTGAGGCAGGACCAACTTGAGAATGTTCACTAGCCTGCAATGGGAAGCCTGGGGAGTAGATTTGGGATTTTTTTTTTTTTTTTGAGACAAGGTCTGGCTATGTAGTTTAGGGTGACCTTGAACTCATTATGTAGCCCAGGGTGGCCTCAAACTAGCAAAGATCTTCCTGCCTCAGCCTCCTGAGTGCCAGGACTACAGGTGGGTGCCACCACAACTGAGCAGGGGAGTAGCTTTTGAACAAAGAGAATGTGACACCTTCTCAGCCCAAGTGAACCTCCTGCCCTCTATGGCTCAGTTTCCTATCCAAACTCAAGGATGGACCCCAGAGGGACTCCGGGCCCTTTATCCCTCCCACTTCCCAGTTATGGGGGCCAGGATGCCACTGGCCTCATTTGCATATGCAGATGATGGAGACACACTGGGGCCTTTCAGGGCGGGGTTCAAGGGCTCTGAGAGGGAGGGAGGAAGCGGAAGTGCTGTAATTGCCTTGATTTCCTCACAGAGCCTCAGGGATCCTGTTTATTTCTCTAATGTGTGAGCACCATGCTCTTGGCTCCTGGGTACCCAGGGCGCCTGCACCGCAGCCCTGATTGAGAGCTGGGGGGGCTTCACTTCTGGCTGGGCCTCACATTTACCCTCTGGGCACCAGGGTGATCCCTGCCCTGGGTCCAAAGATGCGAAGTGCCCAGCCCTGTTGGTGCATGCAGTAGGCACTTCATAGGTGTGCCTCAGGTTATCCAAAAGTGCCCAGCTCCCAGAGTTCCACAGTCCATACAGTAGCTTCTCAATCAGTGCTCCTGATGTTAAATCCTCCAAGTCCTCAGACCGCTCCCTTGCACGCAGGAGGTGCCTAGTAGGTGCTTCTGAGGTGATCCACATATGCAGAGCCCAGAGGCGAAGCGCACACAGTAGGTGCTTGAGTAGTCCAGATGTGCAGGGCACACAGCACGTGCTCAGCAGGTGCTCCTGGGGATACTATTTCATTGGCTGCCCTCTTTGTTCCTGGAGGAGACATCACCTCAGTGTCGGTGTCTGTTTTGTTGATGAGAGTGACCCTGGGCTCAGCCCTTGCCCAACTGGGCCTCAGTTTCCCCCTTTATCCCATGAGGGCAGGCTCAGCTGAGCTCACAGAGCCCCGTTCCTTCTTTTGTTCAGGCTTTGGACACATTTGTTGTGAGCCTTCTGTGTGCCAGGGCCCTGGGACAGAGCGGAGAGCAGGACACAGCTGGGCCCTGCTCTGGCGGGGAGGGAGTTGATCGCTATGGGGAGGAATCAAGAGAGTCAACAGACAGAAGTCCCAAGGTGAACAGTGCAGGGTGAGGGGAGCCTTGTGGACTGTAGTGGGGAGGCTGGGATGGAGACAGGAGAGGGGCAGGAGCTGTGGGGAAAGGTGCATCACTCACCCCATCACAGACCTCAGAGCCCTCCAGGGAAGCCATTTCTTTCTGGGCTACTTTCTGCCCTGGGATATGGGATAGAAACACTGCTATGTGCTAGAATCATAGGGCTGAATGCATTAGGTGCCTAATACATGGCAGCTCATTGTCATTATTATTTCGTGACACTCGGGTTTGAACCCAAGGTTTTCACACTGAGCCGCATCCCCCCCCCCCCCCTTTTTAATGTTTTATTTGCAGACAGGGTCTAGCTTAGTTGCTAAATTGCCAGGGCTGGGCTCAGTCTTGTTTGTGGTCCTCCTGCCTCAGCCTCCCAGAGTGCTGATTTTCCAGGTGGTGGATATGCTTAGTACCCGGAGCACTTTCTGGGCAGTGAGCCCAGGGTGCTGTGCGGAGTCTGGAGAGGGCTTCACCCTCTCTGGTCAGCGCGCCCTCCAAACCTCCTCGGAAGCTCCAGGAGGGGTCTGGGGCCCAGGAAGGGTCCCCGTGAGGACGGCCACCAGTGCAAAGAGCCAAAGGTCAAAGTGCAGGGGCAGCGAGGGGTGAAGACCATGCCACCCCCCCCCACACACACAGGCTGCAAGTCCGGGATGGACCAGCTGGGCGGATTTAGCAGCGCATCTGCTGCCCAAGCAGCTGCCGTGCTGGGGGGGCCGGAGGGGGATTTGGGGACGAGGAAAAAACCTGTCCGCGGAGAATCGAGTCTGCGCCGCCCAGCTGCCACCTCGGGCTGGGGGACACCCCATTCCTGAGCCCCGGGCCCCTCCCGCCGCCAGCGCCCCCACGTGGCTCCCGGGCAGGGGGAGGCTCTGACGTCACGCTCAGCTCAGCCAATTGGAGCCGCCCTCGGGAGACCCCTGGGGAATCCCTGCACCCGGGCCCAGAGAGGGACTAAGACCTCGAGGGGTCACACAGTGCGGGGGGCGGAGGGGGGCGCAGTGAGGCGCGCAAGACCAGGGTGCCGCCTGCCCTGCCCGTGGGCGCCGGGCCACCAAGCGGAGTCTGGCCCTGCCTCTCTCCTGCCCCGGGGTCCCTAGTTCTCTAAACCCCCTTGGGTGTCCCCGGCACTCGAACCCAGGCCGCAGCCTGGATCTGGGCAGGAGGTGTCGGGGCGGCGGGCGCCCGCAAAGCCCGGGCCGGAATCCACAGGCCGGAACGGACTCCAGCCCAGCGCTGCCCAGCGGAAAACTGAGGCCCCAAGGGAGGGGCTTCTTCCAGAATCTCACAGCCTGGGGACCGCTGCCGGCTCTGGGAACCTCAGGCGGGGTCTCTCCCACCCTGGGCCTCCCCGTGAACTTCCGGCGCCCCGCTGCAGGTCAGGGTCAGACAGCCTGGAGCCGGCGGGGGAGGGGGCCCAGGCCTGAGTTTCCCCAGCCGGCCGGGGCATGAAAGACCCATTCATGGCCGGGAAGCCGGGGTGGCCACGGGTCGGGCCTTCCTCCCCCAGGTCTCTGCCTGCAACGCCCTGGCCACACATCCCCGTTCCACACCAAGGGCTGCCACACCCGTCCTCCGGGGGAGGCTTGAGGGCCCGACAGTGACCGCCCCTAGGGCCTCCGGGACCCGAGGGTCACAACAGCGCCCAGCTCAGCAGGGTACGTCTCAGTGTTCATGGCTGTTGGATTTTCTGTCTCAGCTACACAGAAGGCAGAGCTTTGTCATATAGCCTGCTCCATTCAGGACCTGGCAAGCAGTAGGTGCTCAATAAATGTTTGCTTTTTGAGACAGGGTCTTGTTATGTAGTCCAGGCTGGCCTCAAACCCCCGGGATTCTCCTGCCTCAGCCTCCCAACTGCTGGGATGACAGCCATGCACCCCATGCTGGGCCATAGATGTTTGTTGAAAGAATGGGCTGCAGACCTGTGCAGCTGGGCTTCTGCTGGAAGGGGGGCAGCACAGGGAATGGGAGGGCATAGTGGTCCCTGAGCTCCCCCTTGTGTAGCCTCAGTGTCCCAGTGGGAGCAGGACACAGGGTGGGCTCCGGATGCCTACAGGTACCCTGCTGATTTGCCTGGGCCACTGGTGGCCGGAAGGCAGGCAGGGCGAAGCCATGGCAGGAAGTGCCAGCTGCTGAGATTTGTGAGGCCCAAGCTGCCCCCACTGGTGCCAGGCTGCCTTTGGGTGCAAGTCTTGGCCCCACACCCCTTGTTCAAGCCTGTCTCAGCCGTCCGGGTTGGCAGCCTGGAGAGAGACCTGGTGGCCCCATACCCAGGAGCTGTTCAAGACATGTCGCTAAGTGCGCAACGGTAAAGTGTCTGCAGGGCCCCTGCTGTATATGGGAGAGGTGGGAGGAGCCAGGATTGTGCCAGGGCAGCACAGGAGACCTCGCAGTCACTCTGCAGGGGCCGAAGGTTTGCACAGAGAGAAACTGAGGCACAGGGTGAGGTCTCTGTTGTCCTAAAGTCATACGGAGGGCCGGGGAAGTCTCCGAAGCTCAATAGCTGGTTTTTGTTTGTTCCTTCTGAGACAGGGCCTCACTATGTAGTCCAGGCTGGCCTCGAACTCACTGTAAGGCTCAGGTGGCCCTCAGGATTATGCTCATCCCACCCACCAAGTGCAGGATGACAGGCGTGCGCCCACACCCAGCTGCTCCCCATCTGTCTTGGAATCTCAAAGTCAGGGGACAGCACTGCTCCCCAGAAACGGAGAGGGGCTCGCAGCCCTCCGAAACCCCTGTCTGGGTCAAACCCGCTGAGAACTGGGGACAGAGGGACAGGGACCGCTGTGGTCCATCTGCCTAGGTTCAAATCCCCATTCTGTCATTCTCTCACGGGTTACCTTGGTCGTGACACCTCCCTGCCTCAGTTTCCCTCCTGTAGAGCGGCTGGACTGTCTGTGGAGTGAATGCACGACTCCTACAGGACCGGGTCACGCACACCGCGCGTCCCCGCATCACCGCCTCCCGCAGGTCTGACTGAGGGAAGTGTGTACCGAGGACACCGGGCAGGACATGGGAGGGGCGCGGGCCCGCCCGAGACCTGCACAAAAGCGGGGCCCCACCCTTCGCCGCCCCCCCCCGCCTCCCGCCCCGCTCCGCTCCGCCCTCCATGCTCCGCGCCGGGTTTTGCGCGGCTCCGGCCTGGTCGGGGCGTCGGGGAGGGGGCGGAGGTGGCGGAGCCGCGAGTCGCAGCGGCGGCCGCGCTAGCTGCCTCCATGGGCCAGAGGCTCGGCGAG